CCTGGAGCATGGATTGAAAAGAGCTACCGGAGAGGTTAGGCCTGAAGGGAACGCTGCGCTGTGGGACTGTGTTTTTGGACGGCTGCCGAGGCAGGTTCAGGTACACAGGCATCTGTGCTGCCACTGAATTGAGAGTAGGATTAAGTCACTCCCAAAGGGGAGTTACAGTGCCTGAAAAAAAAAAAAAAACCAACTTCTGGAAGTAAGACTATATTAAATAGAAGTCTACCAGACAGTGCTAAAAATGGTGCCTCTTACTATGGCTTTGTATCCTCGGCCGCTTGCTGGAAACAATCCGCTCCTTTCTCAGCGTGAAAACGTTAAGTCTTTTAAGTAAAGAAGTCAGTGAAGCTATATTTAAACATCAAATGCAGAAGTAGAGGGGCAGTGGCGTGCTTGTTAGCATACAAGAAGTTAGATTAAAAGGCGATTTTATGTTAATTTGCTTAGCTGCTTCGCTTTCCGGTACTGTCAGAGCGATTCAGCATATGTATACGTGTGCCCAACACGTATGGGTGTACACGTGCATCCGTATGCGCAAATCAGAGCAGATAACGTGGGACTATTACACCACCGAGCAAGTGGTTTGATTCCGTGCGCTGAAGGCCTGTGTGAGAATTACTGGCTGCTGGCATCGGACTCCAGGTCTCATTGTTGCGGATGAGGGAGTCAGCCTCCATGGTGCTTGGCACGGGAGGCATGGAGGGAGGGAGGGAGGGAGGGAGGGAGGGAAGGAGGGAGAGGGGGGGATTGCCATACGCAGTGATGCGAAGAAGCATATGCGAGCAACAGAGGCAAGGGTGAAACAAGAAAAACAAAACACGCTGTAAATATCTCTAGAAAGAGCTAATGACTGATAAATGTGCTGAATGGAGACAGCAGAAATCAATTTTGTGGATTAATTTGTATCTCTATTAATTCAGTCAGTCTCCTCTTCGCCAACATTTACTTAATGATTCCTGTTCTTTCCCTCGGTCTTTCTCTTTGGTGCCCTACCGGTAATCCTCTTCTATAACCACACTTAACGCTTTTTGTAGTGTTTCTGGAAGGAAACTTTCCCAAACATTAACGAATGTTTTCCCAAACATTCATAAACAACCCCTGAACAACCCTTCTGTAGATGTATTCATACTGTGCTGTGGATAGACTTGGAATTGTTTTACTGTGTGCCGTAGGACCTATGCTGCAAATAGATAATGGGGGGGGTCTTCTTAGCTCAAGTGGGGCTCAGAAAAAGAAGTGGGGCTAATCCTGGGTTCCTCTCAAAGATGGAATTAGGAGACGTTCTGAAGAGTCATGATACTCAGAACGGCAGAGCGCTCTGCAAAAAGCTTTATGGAAATGCTTATGTAGATTATCGTTCAGATATAGTTCAGATTTTGGATGTAGCAACATTGTCCCAGTGAATCCGAGAGGAGAGGAGTAGGGATTAGGCATAGAAATTGCTGTGTGCAGGCCACCTTTCCCAATTTCAAGCTGCACATTATATGTGCAAGCATTAAAAGTTTTACTGACTTTCTAGTAAATCCAGAGAACGAGCGCTTGGCAAACAAGATACAGTGTTTATTTCTTTTCTTAATTTGAGAGCATCATCTTCCCAATGAAGTCTAAAAAAGAACTGAACAAAAGATGACTTTGTTTCTGCATAATTGGTGAAAGCTCTACAGCTGTAACCTTTTAAACAGTTATTTTTAAGATGTGTAAATTTCAAATCTTTTTTTAATGGGGCACATAAATGACATAATAAATGTTTGTTTCCAAGATATGGTGCATAATGTGTTTCACAAGCAGTTACTGAAATGTGATAGGTTGAGTATATGAATAGCATATTTTATGTAAGTACAATATGTTAACACGGTATATAATAGAATTAAACTAGCTGTAATTTAATATAGCTCTTTAGCTCTGTAAAGCTATAGGGGTGGGGAAACTATTGTCTTTCAGAATTAAAGTTCTTTTTAAGTATTAGCAGAAGGACGATTATTTGCTGATTCTATATCAAAACTCTGTTGAAGTGCCTTATGTAAAAATTGCAGCTTGAGTCAAGAGAGGTTTGAAACTAAGTTAGTACGTCAATTAAATATGATTACATGGGTTTTTTTGGAGGAAAAAAAAACCCTATATAATATTATTTTAAATAGTTAACATACAGTATTTCAACAGGGGAAACGCTGATTAGATCACCACAATCTATTTTATGCCATCAGGAATGCTGAGGGGCTTATAATCGTGTTAAATTTTCATATTACTCATATTCACACATTAATGAACAGATGCATTGTTACTATTGGGATTTTGCCACTTGGCCTTTCACATCTCTAATCACGATTCCCCACTGCGATCTTTAACCGTTCTCGCCGAAATTCAGGCATTGATAACATGCCCGTCCCTCCCTCGCCTTCATTATCCTCCGCTCGTTTCGCCGCCGGAATCACCGGCGGAGTCAGGTTGCGGCGGGCGGGGGGG